ATATACAGAGTCAATAAAATACCTCTGAACAGGACATGCTGAGGACAAAGCACAGGAGAAGGTTTCTCTGCTCTCCTGTCTGTGGGTTTGTGCAAGACCTTAGCTAGGAAGCATTATATTGCCCTAGGACAATGATATTTTGGATTATAGCTTCCAATTTTAGATGTTTTGGATTATAGCTTCCATATTCTCTTATTCTTGACTAGACTGAATGGGGCTGAAGGGAGGGAGCTCTGGCCAAAACATGTAGAGTGCCAAAAGTCCCTCATGCCCCCCTCCCCCCAAATCTAGATGGGTCTTTACTTGTTCCCTCTTTTTGACCAGGATAGCATTTCTGATATTATGAAGCTGTTCCTGGAATAAAAACATTTTAAATATTTATCAAAATTTCTATACAGAGATTTGGCTTTTATATTGTTTTGGGTTACAAAGATCTATCAGAATTTAAATTTGCAGGATTTTTTAAAAATTAAATCAAGGTTCCATAAAACACAACAGAGCCAGTGGGGTGTAGGGGTTGAGTATTGGGTTAGCACAACATGAGACTAGAGTTCCAATCCTGGCTGGGCCACGGAAACCCAATGGGTGGCCTTGGGCAAGTCACACTCTCTCAACCTTAGAAGATGGCAATGGCAACCCCCCTCTGAAGAAAGTTGCCAAGAAAACCCTACGCCTTAGAGTAGCCATAAGTCGGAAACGACTTGAATGCACACAATAACAACAACAACAACACACCTTACCCGTGAGTAAACATTTTGCTGAGGGCCAGCGTGTTGCAATGGTTTGACTGTTGGATTAGGACACTGGGAAATCAGGATTCGAATCCAGACCTGGCCATGGAAACCCACTGGGTGGTCTTAGACAAGCCACACTCTCTCAGCTTCAAAGGATAGCAACTGTAAGCCATCTCTGAAGAAACTTGCCAAGAAAACCCTATGATAGGTATGCCTTAAGTTAAGGTCTCTGTAAGTCGGAAACGATTTGAAGGTACACAACAACAGCAACAACAAACCTTGTGCTGCTCTGAGCAACAAACCCACACCACGAATGTCTCTCATCCTTAACAGGGGCTTCCTTCCTGCGCAGCCTTTTCACTGCGGAGCAAGGAGAGAGAAGCCCAAGCAAACTTTCCACTCAGGAAAGCCCTGCTCCAACCATGGGGGGGGGGG